CCATAAGGATTAGATTGAAATATGATTTGATCATGATTTATTTCATTATTTTCATTCGTTATGTGAGAATCAAAGAAAAAAGAACAATAAAAAAAAACTTATTGTTTACATTCTTTAAGTCTTGACTAAAAAGTTAAATAATTAAGAAAAATAGTCTAAAAAGTTAGATTTGTTCGTTAGTAGTATTTGATGAAATGGGAACATCCTTTCTTTTGTTTTTTTTCTTCTTCTTTTTTTTCGTTTTTGATTCTGTATTTTTCGTCGAATTTTTTTGATTTTTATCAAATATTTCTAATAATACAGGATAGACTAACCAAGCGAAACTAAATAATCCTTTGAATTGTGTTGGGTGTTCTGTTTGTTGATTATTTGGAAATGGTTTTTGTTTTTTGTTTTTATTCTTTTGATATTTTTTAATATGTGTTATCCATGGTTGATAAGTGATATGAAACCATGCTGATGCTTTTTTCTTGGCTTCATCCAATGATGTTATTTGATTATAATATTCGAATACATCCAACTGATTTTTCCATGTTAATTTTTTCGATATTTCGGACCATTTAGTTTTTTCTTCTTGTGATTCATCTGTTAATGGATAGAATTCTTCCCAGAAGAGACGCAAATATCTAACAGAAAACAGAACAAAAATAAATAAATTCGTATATATACTGACTGAAACAAAAAAAAACTCCTGTTAACACAATCTCTGTGGGATTAAAATATGACACACGACATAGCTGTTGTTGCTAATTATAGACAGATTACTTTATTCTATTTATTTTGGAGCACATATATTCACAATCTTTTTACTTAATCCTCGTGAACGTCTATCACGAACTGTGGGAGCAGGGAGAATGGGTCCAAATTTCTATCCTATATACTTCAACATTCCTTTTAGATCATGTTCAGGGTTGCCGATTAGATGAATAGCATTGGGGAGGAACGGCCTTAATAATAGGTCATGGGTTATGGGGAAAGTGGCAGGTTACGATGAGTTTCGTTCTTCTCTCTTCTTCCGGCCAGCACTTCTAGTACTCAGAGAATGAAAGTACTTTCTGCCGTAGAAAATATCGATAAACCTGATTGTGTTTCACAAAAGTAATTATACTTACTTATCTTGTATGACTCTATATGCATGTGTAATTTCATTTCTTAAGTCGAATATTTTAGTTTCCTTTGCATATTGTTTTGAAGTAAATTTAAGTATATAACCCGAAACAACTTCAACTTCATGTTCAATACCATATTGTCGCATGATTCGTTTTATATCTCGATCATATTCACTTTTTATGATGCGAGCATCTTTTATATATTCAGCATTTCCATTAATAAAAAAAGATTCATAAGGAAATGATGATGTAGCAGAGATTTCTTCTTCTTCATTAATAAACAAATTACTGTTGTAATATATAACTGCATCATAGAGTTTACCAAGAATTGTTTGTGACTGATATGTTGGCTTATCCTTCTTTTCCATATAATGTGGATATTTGGTAGGACGAAGTTCACGTGTAAGACTAGGTGCATTGACTCCTTTTTTAGCAAAATCTACGGCCACGCTATATTAAACAATAGTTGAATTTTTCAAAGAAATTAAAATAAGTATTAATAGCGAAGAATGAATAGATAAGTCAAAAATTTTTTCTTCCTAACTTTTTTTTTTTACTTTAGATAAATCATTTTTAATCCAATACCATATTATGTTTATGTTCGTACATTCAATATAAATTTCAATTCGCAGAATTTGTGCATATATAGTTATATATGGATTATATTTAGTTAATAAAAATGTCAGACTTAATTTTTTATTCATTAATATCAGACGCTTACTGTATATATCGTATGAATTATGTCATTGGCTAGCAGCATAACTTTGATACATAAAAATGTATATACCTCTAGACGCTGAACTTTTCTAGAACTGATTTCTATGTTTTAAATGTGTATTGAGTTACTCTCGATAATCTGAAAAATTCAATTCTTGAGATTTTTATTTGGACGAGTTAACTAATGTTTATAATGTGACATAAATAGAACCAAGATTTTCATTGCATATGTTTTCAGTTAGAAATACTGCTAATTCAAACAGTATTTTTGAATACTAAATAGTGCGTTTAGTAGACAATTCTTCAGTCTAGAAAAATCTCTATGGAACCTTTTTGGCTAAACCAGCTTATGTTTCCAAGAAGTTGAATTTACTGATTGCTAGTGATTTGACCGAGTACGAATATAAAAATGTGAAATATTCATGAAACTGAATGAGAAGTTTCGAATGAATTCTGAATTGTACAAATCCTTCATGAGAGATCTCAAGAAAGATTACAGAACAAAAGATTTTGCTTCGGAATATGAGGACATCACTAGAGAGCCGATTTTAAAGAGACACTTTTATTTTGTAGTTGAATCTTACTGAAAGCTTCACTATCGATGTCGTTTGAAATCTATCATGAAATTCTTAGATTTTTCTGTCATAAGGTTAGAAATCAATTTCTTAATTTCGTTAGTGCTCGAATAATCCAGAATTTTACGTATAATCTTAATAGAAGGCTCTTTTAGAAACAAAAGTCTCATCAAAAATTGAACTATAAAGAACAATAATTATGTCCACTTTTGGTTAATATTCCGTATATAGATTCCGTATTTTACATTAGTCATGAACCAACAATTCCAATACAATTTTTGTTTTTAAATGATGTACATATTTATTGTATTTTTACTTTAACGTACCTGTGCATTTTAGCTAATTGAAGACATTTTTCATTTTTGGCGCCCCTTTCCAATTGATCAGCAAAAGCCAAATGACTATTGGCTATAAGACCAAGACTAAAACAAAACTTGATGACTAATATATAATGAAAATTTTCTAATTTACTTGTCGGCTGCGATATATTCACCAAAAAAATTACACACATCTTTAATGGAATGTTGAACAATTATTCCTGATTGTATTTTGTCAGCTTCGTCATCTTGATCTTGATAATCAAATGGATATTCATTGTTATTAAATATTAAATCTGAATGACGACTTATCCAGAATGTATCTCCATCCAAATCTCCACCGGACATTTCCTTCGGATGAGGACGAGGTTCTTTCATAGGAAAAACAATTACATTTTTTAACTCATGCAAAGCAGGTATATCAACTGCTTCGAGTTTTCGAATGTCACCTTTCAATATAAAAATAAAAATTCAACAAATATAATTTCTCATATCAATGATGATCTATTTAAATACCATACCTGGATGAAAACATGGATTTCTTGTAACTACTACAGGACCTTGAAAAATTTCTGTTCTTGAACCTTCTGTTTGTTGATTGTTACTATTATCTATTTGAATAAAAACTTGACCATATTGAAGTGTTCGACTTTCATCAACTACACCCAATAAAGACCATGAATTTGGTACACGAATTTTTGCTTTTGTTCGTAATTCTTTAACAAGAAATGCTTTAATAACGAAAAGAAGTTGTCGAACAAATGGATCTTTTCGTTCGCCTAGACTTTTTAAATATGCAATAAGAAATCCATGATATCCATGACCACCAAATTCATTCAATTCTTTTAATGATTCACATGCTTTATGTGAATTTTCTGTTAATGCTTTTAATTGTTGTAACATATGGTCTTGTAATGAGATAAAAACTGAATTAGGAATACCAAGAGATGATAGAAGAAGAATAATTTGTCTATTCAAATAAGCAACTGAAGGATTAAGTGATGTACGTACAACATCAATCGACAAATTTTTTTCTGTAGTAAATTTATTCATAGATTTACGGAAATGAACGTATTCATCGGGATTAGTAATCTTACCAGAAACATCTAAGCAGACCATGCCTACAAGAAATTGTTGTATCGTCTTTTTTTTTTGTTTTTTTTATCTTTCAAAATTATATTTCAATAAAATATTACCTTTATAACCTCCACAACGAATTTGAAAAGCACAAGGACAAATTTTTCCAGATAATTTCATTTCTTGAGTTAATATTTTGGCAAATTTTGATGTAATTATACCAATACCATCTGTAAAGCAATGTTCATGCCTACGTTCACTGGTTACTTCGAAATGTATGACATCGGATATTTCTCTTCTCTGGCGACTTTCAAGTTGAATACCTTTGATACTTGTTGAAAATGATTGTCCTAACTAAAAAAAAAAACAATAAATTCTTACAATCTAAATGTAAATATTTAACTTTACTTACACGAGCAGCTAATTTAGCTACAGGACGAACATTTCGAAAGTCGCCCATCCACGAACGAATTGTATTAACTGTAGTACCATCATCAGCTGAAGCAAACATCCAACAGGAATGTTCACGTAATTGTGAACTTGAAAAAGCTAAAAATTCATAATTTCGATCACATATATTAATTCCATTTATCAAGATTTTCTTGATACGTTCATAGATCTTCGTCATATTATCATGGTAATTACGTAATACACGGTAATCTATGTAAAAAGACAATAGAATACAAAACAAAAAACAAAAATTTTGAATTCATTTTATTTGATCTAATTATTTTACCTTCGTCACGAAATGTTATACGAAGAAATCGATTTTGATGTTGTACATAGTGACGTGTTACAGCACATTTTTCTTCACGATAAGGTCCTTCATAAAGAACAGTCGATGGTGTTATGTATATCTTACGAATTAAAAATGGTTCAGCATTTGCAGTACGTAATTCAAGTTTAGTCACATAAATTCCTGTCGTTTTTGTTCTACAAAGTTCATATTTTTTGAGTAATTGTTCAAATGCAGAAATGAGTAGACGACTAAATGTTCCAATATGACGCTTTGTTATTATCAATGGAGGTTTTGTCATGAATGTCACACGTGATGCTATTTCCGTATCGGCAGTATTGATGAATTTTCCAGTAGTACATGAACGAATATGTTGAGAAATGGATAAATTATTAGTATCGTTACAAAGATCTTCAGTACTAATTGGTAATTGATTTTCTTCTTGTTCTACTTGTTGTTCTTCATTCTCATTATTCCAATCTTCATCTTCATTTTCACAAGTTGTAGCAAACCATCGAGGAGCAAATCCAACAATTTTATCTATACAAATATTAAGATAAATTTTGTACAATGAAATAGAATTTTTCTTTTCAAAATTTACCTGTAAGAGCAATTAATGTACTAATTGTACACATCTTTAAAATATGTTCAGCTTGTTCATCAACAATTAAATCATTAACTGTAATAATATGTTTTGATATAAGTTTCATTATTTCAAATTTTGTTTCAAAAGGATATGATGGCCATCGATGGTTAAGAAAATCATTTACTTTAACTTGATTTTGTTCTATCCATTCATCATTAGATATTAATAGGACAGAGTCAAGATTCTTTCTTGCAGCTTCTGTTGTTCCAATTAAATGAATAATATTGGATTCAGAAAATTGTCGTGGTGATAAATTCTGACGACGTAAAATTTCGAATAATTTCATATAATCACTACGTAAATGTTGTGAAGATAATTTAAAGAGCCATGCATTAGCATGACCAATAGGTCCAAAGCCCGGTAGACGACTCTCATCGGAATTATTATGCATCGAATGACTTGTATTTCGTATTTCTAAAATTATTGGAGGTCGTTTAAGTTCAACAAGTAAAAAGACTTCTTTTTGGTTGATTAATACTGGAGTTATCTTCTTAGATTTCAAACTACAATACAAAAAACATTATTTAAAACAAATCAAATTATTCGAAATTTTCTTTTCAATAACTTTTTTTTAAATAGAATATAATAAAAAAGTTATAAATTAATTTTCATGAATCGTTTATTGAAATAAATAAAACTTACTCTCGAAAGTTCCATTCAAATTTCAGTCCAGTATTGATAGTAATATCAGACGTCAGAATCACATCTAATTTACCGCTAATAGCTAGTTTTTTCTTGTCAATATCGATATTCAATTCAAAAATTTTGCATTGATCAGGTATTAGACGATGAGCAATAATGCCGAATTGATCAACATTAGAAACATTGCTATTTCCTGTTTGTATATTTCTCATTGCTGCTCCTGTGATGAGCGTTCCGTAATGAATATCTGTAATTTCAAAGTTAATACTTGTAGGTGTGCTGTTAATTATTATCATAGTAGGTAAAGTATTGGCCGGTGGTTGAGAAGATCGATTAATACGTTTGATATCTAACTTTTTGCCATGAAAAACGAAGGCTACTGATTTCTTTTCACTTTTATATAGAACTTCAACCGCAATTTGGATAGAATCAAAGCGAACAAAAGCATAACGAGCACCTTTCTGAAAATAATTTATAATGTTCAATATCACCAATAACTGAGATCATGTATTTATTCCTACCTTATTCGTTTTCAAATCAACGCGACTAACGCCATAACTTTGTTCAATAAACCAATTTTTGAGCTCCTGCCATTTAGTGTCCGAAGGTATGTTTCCAACATAGAGTTGAGGAGTTGATAAAGATATTATTCCAGATTCATCGACTGTAGGATCAATTGCTAAACAATATTTTCCTGTATTTCCTATTTTGCGGATGAGTGGTGGAGCTGTCAAATATGTTAGAATTGAATCATTGACAAATGGTGTAGTTGAATTTAAATTAACTGAACGATGAGGTTTGGAATGCATGGCCAAACGGACAGAATAATTTGAAGGAATATCAGCTAAAGGAACTTCGAAACGGTCAGATGTAACTTCTCCCAATATAATATCTCCTAATGACATAAAATGGTGAGTATCATCGAAATTACAATAATCGTCGTCATCATTATCGTCGTACATGTCAATCATTCGATCATCGAATGTTTCATCTTCCATAGTATCATCAGACGAATTACTTTCGAAGTCCGATTCGGATTTCGACATTTTTTTTTCAGTTCTTTCAATGAATATAAGATCTAATAAAAAATTTTCTTCTTCGTATGAATTTAGTCGACAAACTTTAAACTAAAATGAATCAAGTCAGTTGAAATATCAAATAAAGTATCGATTAATTATTCAAGGCGTTTTAAAAATCTCGTCGATTAAATAAAAGCTTACAATTCTCATAACTGGGAAAAAATTTATTGTTTCCTAGCGACGATGACTAAGAAGACACTTAAAACTTTATTTGCACACAAGCTCGCGTTACATATATGATATTAATCAAAGTTTTCTCTTGTATGTTACTTTCTAAATTTCTTTTTAATCGTAAAGGAGCAAGTATTTGCAAATAACTTCAAATAATGGAGAAAAAAAAACCACCACAGACAGACACGTGTGTAGAATAAGTAAACAATGATAATCAAACTTTTAAAAACAAACGAATAGAGAAACAACAATATAAAACGAACAACAAAAACATTGCCTGAAAATTTGTTTTTTCTTTCTGTTAATAATGTCAGGTTTTTTTTCGGCAGACTTGTTAGATGTGTGAATATTACGTCATAAAGTGAAAGTCCAATTCAATATTTAAACCAATGATAAATTTTTTTTTACGAGATAACTTAATTTTATAAATGCCATAGAAATATTTAATAAATCTTTCGATAATTTTCAACAAAGTTTATTATATTTTTAAACATATTCATTTTTATTTCTTTCTGTTTATTCATGTTTCATTGAAATTTTCATTGTTTGTTTTTCTGAGAGACAACTTTGTGCAAATTCATGATATACAATCTTGAATTCTTTTATTCATACGGAATATGTAATTATAAGATATATTTATTTTATTCTCTAAACGTTCTTTTCCTATTATCCAGGTTAAACAGGTACGAACATAAACAACTATATCCAAAGGGTTACGACGATTCACGTGATTCTGTCAGGCGATCGTATGTCACCGTGCCGTATGCAGTCTTCATTTTTCTTCGTATATGAAGGTAGTGTTCTGTTAAGTGACTGTGTAATTCGGTCGTATACGGAGAAAAACAGAACATGTGCAGTCGTTTACGAGCTCCGTATTTTTCGATCTAAGAAGAGAATAAAAATTCAAGATAAAAACTTCGATAACTATATGTTGTATATCATCATGTATCTATATTACTCTAAAAAGTTATTTGATTGTTTTCTATCATGGCAACCATAAAGTACTTAATCTTTGGCGAGCACAAAATCTTTTCATATTGAATTTTTATATTATTTTCTGTTTTCTATAGATGTATATATTCATTTCTCATGAATCTATCAATCTAATGATGAAAGAAAGTTAAAAAAAAGATAGACATGAAGGTTACGATAGTAAAAAACATGACATATTTTCTTGGAAGATAGAAAACTTTTAAAAATGCCACAATATGAAATTAAGATTTTTCCATTCATTGTAAAAAAAAATAACTGCGATTCTAGAGACAAAAGATGTCTTATCAAAATAATTGTCAGTTTTCCATCGAAAGAAATTTGAGTCAAAATCAACTTTATAATTAATAAACAATATATCAAAATAATAAAAGAAAAATCAATATCATTGTCAAATAGCAGTATTGTTTTTACATACATAGAGGTTATACTAATCAGTTATCTGATAAGAATATCAAAAACATATATGGTTAAACAGATGTCGCAAGCCATCATTAAATATTTCAACATGTATCAACATCAGCAAATAAATTCTAGCATTTTATTGGATAAAATACTTTGCGGACTATGGGTGTTTACCGAAAATGAATAAGTACACTTCATTCTATTTTTTGTCTGAACTCCTATCAATAATAGTAGGTGCTTATTTTAGACCGTACTAAAAGAATAAAAATACAATGACAGTTACTGCCACTCGTTCAATTCTTCGTTTGATTAATTCAACACTTCGAACGGTATTTTAATAATATATCTATTTAAATCATAAAATTTTTCTTTTTCTATTCATAAAGAATCATTTTGTTGGTTTACAATCGAAATGTTATGCATCAACACAAACAACTGTATGCTTATTTCATTTCTTTTGTTTTTCTTAATCATTTTTTGAAATCAAATTTTATTATTTATAGGATTTAAAAGAAATTTTACGTGAACTTATACCAAAAGAACAAAAACGTATAGCTGCATTTAAAGCTGAACATAAAGATACAGTTATTGGTCAGGTCACTCTTGATATGGTAAAAATAAAATATTTTCTTTTTTACACATTATCTTTTATGATACATTCATCAGGTTTATGGTGGTATGCGTGATATTAAAGGTCTTGTTTACGAAACATCGCTATTAGATTCCAATGAAGGTATTCGTTTTCGTGGTAAAACAATTCAAGAATGTCAAGCTCAATTACCAAAAGCAAAAGGTGGCGAAGAACCATTACCTGAAGGTCTCTTTTGGTTGTTAGTTACATCACAAATACCAACTCAAGAACAAGTAATTATCTATATAAATAATATGGAAAAACGAATATTAGTTTATTATTTTTTTTGAAAGGTTGACTGGGTTACACAGGAATGGAATAATCGTGCTGATATACCTCAACATGTTGTCACAATGTTAAATAATTTTCCAGCACAACTTCATCCAATGTCACAACTTAGTGCTGCTGTCACTGTTCTTAATCTTGGTTCAAAATTTGCAAAAGCTTATTCGGATAATGTACCGAAATCTAAATATTGGGAGGTTTGTATATATATATATATTTAAATTTCTATTACGAGAATTTTTTCCTTTTGTTTACTCTTGTAGTATGCTTATGAAGATTCAATGGATTTAATTGCTAAATTACCAACAATTGCTGCTATCATCTATCGAAATTTATATCGTGATGGTACAGCTGTTGGTGCTATTGATTCAAAAAAAGATTGGTCATGGAATTTCGCCACTATGTTAGGTTATGATAATAAAAGCTTTGTTGATTTACTTCGACTTTATCTAACAATTCATAGGTAAGGATTAGTAATGAGTGAGACTAATCATTTTTAGTTCCGGTCTTGGTCAGAAAAAAACCTGATTCCGGGACTAGGACCATTGTGCCCGTATATAATAAAGATAAAAGAAGTTTAAGAAATATAATTTATATATATATATATATATATATATCTTTTTTTTTTTTTTCTTTTGTAAAATTTAGTGATCATGAAGGTGGTAATGTAAGTGCACATACAAGTCATCTTGTTGGTAGTGCTCTTTCAGATCCATATTTATCATTTGCTGCTGCTATGAATGGTCTTGCTGGTCCACTTCATGGTCTTGCAAATCAAGAAGTTTTAATTTGGATAACAAAATTAGTTGAAAAAATAGGTGAAACGCCAACTGATGAACAAATAAAACAATATGTTCTTGATACGCTTAAAACAAGTGTTGTACCTGGTTTTGGACATGCTGTTTTACGTAAAACTGACCCTCGTTATACATGTCAACGAGATTTTGCTCTTAAGCATTTACCAAATGATAATATGTTTAAAATTGTTTCACAACTCTTTAAAGTTGTACCAGCAATACTTGGTGATATTGCTAAAATTAAAAATCCATGGCCAAATGTTGATGCACATTCAGGTGTTCTTCTTCGGGTAAGTTTTTTTTTAATTTAAATGTATTATATTATGTATAAGTTCTTTTTTATTATTAGTATTATGGTATGAAAGAAATGAATTTTTATACTGTTTTATTTGGTGTCTCACGTGCACTTGGTGTACTTGCTCAAATGATATGGTCACGAGCATTAGGATTTCCATTGGAACGACCCAAGTCAGAAACAACTGATAGTCTTATGGCTATTGTAGCTGCAAAAAAGAAAACCGGCGCTAATGTCAGCGATAGAACAAAGGCTTAAACATCTTTAAATGAATTTCAGACTTGAAAATTAGATTCGACCAAATATGCTTTTGCGCGTATTATCATACAGAACCAATATATTTATTTTTCACTCTTGCCAAATCTTTTTCCTCTTGAATACCTTTGGCTGTATTAACTTCTTATTACTTAAAGTAGTTATTCATGCTTTTCGGTCGTATCTTTATTACTTTAGATTTAATAAAAAGTACAATACAAAGTTTAGATCAATAAAAATTTTTTTCTATTGTAATTTTATCAAACATTTAACCTAAAATCAAGTGTTAATCAAGTACTGCATGATAGTAAATTAGCTCGTTGAATATCAGTAGTTAATTTTGATTTTTCATTGATTCAGAATAGTAAAGATTTTATAAATCAAGATGAATAGAGAAGAAGTATGTCATTAGATATTTGATATTATCTTTATTTGATGAATAATAATGACTATAGGTGTTGTAGGTATGCCAAATGAATGAACGGCATTTCAATGTTTGATTCATTTGACGTGTCATCATGTAAACCTAGAAGAAAATCATTTGGTATATGCAATCAATTCAGTTATTTTCTTGTCAAATAGGTTTTTGCTCGAATGCAAACAATGTATATTTACTAACTCTCTAATGGATTATATTTCTATTTGATAGGATGTCATTTATATTAATCTGCTTTGCTAATCATAGTTCAAAGTTGAACAGATGAACATTTTTCAGTTATACAATGACAATTCAATTCGATTTGTTCAGTAACCTGATTTTTATTAGACATGCTATCAAGCGGTATTTTTTTGTGTGACTATGTCATCATTGTTGCTAAATCTCGTAGAATAAAAGGTCATTCTCATTACAAGGTCGCCCATAAGGAATACTTCACAAGGCATAATAGAATATCATGGGTTTTCTAAAAGTCTTTTTCGGAAATCCATCAATAAAATGAAAATCTTCATAATTGAAGGCTATGATCTTTCATTCTAGGAGGGCTAATTGTTATTGGATGAAATGGTAAGGTCGAAGTGATGGCTTTGACATTTATCGATGCTGCATGAGGTTTAAATAAAGCTAACCTATCATTAGTTGATTGATCTGTTTGTATCATAGATGATAATAATTCATTGAACGTTTGCGATTGCTTTATATCATGCTCAGAATAATTTTTCTCTGCAATATTATCACTAATAAAATTTTGCTAAAAATAATTATATATATATATATATTCATGAAAATTTATGAGTTCATTACTTGATCATCAATTGTTGTTGTTGTAATTAAACTAGTACTGCTCACTTGAATACCATTATTGATGGTTAAAATTTTCTTAAAAGGTACTGATGGAAGTTTTTCATTATTAGAATTGAGAGAATCTTTTTCATATTTTTTTGTCATTCTATATTGTTCATGATTACTCATTACTGTTTGATTAAATTGTCCATAATAAATTGTATTCGAAACTTTATTTTTATTCATTCGATAAGCTTCAGCTGCAGCCGCAGCAATATGTGGTGCAGTTATTCGTCGTACTGTGACTCGATATGAAGAATGATCAAGAGATGTTTGCTTTTTTTTAATCTTTTTTAAGTAAGATGCTTCATTAAATGAGGGATTATAGATTAAAGGCATAAAAGACCACGGTTGAACTATTGTGCAATAGTTGAAATGATTTGCAGGATTTATATTTGATGAACAAGAGCATGAATACACTGGAGAATAGGTATATGATGCTTGTTGATAGAAATTTAAAATAAAGAAAAATAAATTAATTTAATATTTTATACGATTTGTAATATCGATATAAATATACCTGTTTGAAAACAATTACCATTACATTTTGTCATTGGTCGAGATGTGACAACAACATGAGTGCAAGTGAAATTTTCATTGTTTTGAATGTTGATTGATTTATGATGATCTGATGAGTTAAAATTATGTTGATTCATTTCGTATGTTTATTTTACTGTTTTAGAAATTCTTTAAATAAATTTGAATTATAGTCATATTTTATATTCTAATAACATCAATATCGTTAAGAAATGAATTACATAACAAAAAAAACAAAGATATAATTATTAAATTTCTTACTTGCGCTAATTTCTTTCTTTTTTCTTTTTACATTCAATTTAATAAGAATATAATTAATTCATAATAAACTTATTTGTATCAAATTCATTATTTTAGAAAAATCATTAAAACTTTAAAAAAAACATGAATAACATCATATTTATAAATATTCTATCATAGAAAAGTAAAATTTCAAATATAAAAAGAATATCAATTTAAACTTTTGGATGAATAAAAAAAACACCTAGAACATCTTGACCTTTACTATTTATAATTTGATCACTAGGTTCAACAAGAATAATATTACGATTTGTTGGATTAACTCGCCATTTTAATGCATTATTCACAGTAATATTATAACTTGACTTTGGATATTGTAGAGGTGATACGAAGATTTCTGTTGGTTGTTTTATATTTGTATCAATAAAATACGATAAATAAAAATATCTATCTGCAGGTATAAATTCCATTGTAGATGGTTTACCAGCAATAGCACGAGCATATACACGTGATAAACGTTTAATTGTTTCTTGATCATTATAAGAATTACCCCAAAATGCCCATGATTGTAAAAATACATCAGCTGCACCTAAACCCCAATCAAGTTGTTCATCATATGTTGGTGAATCATCACATCCACCAAATTCAGTTAAAAATGCTGAACCATCTAATTGTGCAAGATCATTTTGAACCGAACGAAAAAGTAGTGATTCTTCAATATGATCACAAAGTACTCGATCAAATAGTAATATTGTACTATTGCCTGGTACAGATTCAAGAGATAATATTATACAATAATAATGATAAGAGAGTACACTTCGATTACGATAATTATCACCACCAGGTACATGAGTAAATTCAGTACCAAAATATTTACCATTTAATCGAACTATAAATTAAAAATATAACATAGAAATAAACACATGTTGAATTATTACATACCACCCCATGTTACAGGTTCATAAAAAATAAGAGTATCATCATCGACTGAACGAATAGCTTTAGCTATTTTTTCATAAAATGGTTGTAAATTTGTAGTTCCAGCAATACCTGGTAAGAGTAAAAATGGATTCTTCAAATAATTTTCAGCCCATGGTTCATTGATAATTTCATATCTGAATACAAGCAAAAAAGAAAAATACGACAAATAATCAAATAGAAAAATGAAAGAATAATTGCTTACCATAGAATATTAAAATATTGTTTATAAGTTAAACCTACTAATCGCCAAAAATGACTCATTGATTCAATAGCACCACCTACATTATTATATAAACATTGAAATCCATGTGAACATGCTTCTGTTATATAACTAATATTTAAAAAGAAAAGCTATAGTTAGCCTTAAATGAATTATCTTTACGTACCTAAGAAACCAATTACTACCGTTAGGAGCCATTTGAAGTGGCCAAGGATCTAAGAAAAGAAAATTTTAATACTAAAAAAAAAAAGTTTTTTTTTCTTATTTTGTTTATTACATGAATGAGCTGGAGATAAAAATCGATCGTATAACCATGATGGTATACTATCATAGCTCCTGTTCGACTTGATAATACATCTTGATGCATATCAAGTAAGACAAATATATGATTTGATTCAAGTAACTCAATAACGTTTTTCATTATATTTAAATAAGTAACATTGTATTTATTTGGTTCAGATTCAACACCAGACCACATCATTCTAAAATAATTGATTAATAAAATTAAACCTAAATAAAACAAAAAAATATAAATTTTTACCCAAGTCTAACAAAATTTAAACCCCATTTTGATAAATTTTCAACAAAATTTGGATCAAGTAATTCATTTGGATACTAAGGAAATTGTTTTAATACAAAATTAGCACCATGATAAATTCGTACACGACCTGATTCATCAACAATAAATGTATTTTTAACATGAACATTAACCGAACCAATACAATTTCCAACGAATAAAGAAAAATAAGTTAATAAGCATACACCTAATTGTTGCATCTCTAAAGACAAATAATACCAATATAGAATTGACCTGCTTCTTCTTTCCTTAAATATCAAAGATAAAAGTATAAAATGCGCGACGCAGTTTTTCTTATCTATTTTATCCAAAAAAAGATCTCCTTGACAATATATTCAAGATTTTTGTTTTCTAATATTTTCTCATTGTGTCTTTTTTTTTCAAAAATTCAATATGATTAAATAAGAAAATAAAATATGAATTCAATAAAAACTCATTGTATTCAACAAAATTATGAAGATGATTTAAAATCTGAATCAACTATTCAAATTGAATTTAGCGAATCTATTGTACAAAGACTTGAAACAACAAATGATAATAAGAAAAATTCCTATCCATCATTTCAACGATATTATTCACGAAAAAGATGTTCATCTAGAGAAAGTCAACGAACAATAAATAAAGAAGATAATATAAATAAGAAACAACGAAATCATATTGATCATTTAGCTTTTTCTGAAAATGCTCGAAAACAACAAATTATTTCATTATCAGATTCAAATGAATCACAATGTGTTCGAACTAATTTACAACCAAAAAATGGTAGGATCATATTTCAATGAAGAAAATAAAATATCGTTTGATTCATTAGTTTTTTGTAATATAATATAATATCCCTAGTGAATGTACTAAGCTTAAGGTACACTGCTATCAATATGTCATAGGAATCTTTGGACACTGTATAGGTTTTTACTATTTGACCACAAAATGCTTCTAAATATTTAATCTAGTAATTTATTGAAAAATTTTTCATAGGATGCTACAGAAACTGGACAAGTACCTGGAAATTATCCAACTGTCGGATACCGTTCAATTTTATATTATGACTACGAGTAGGTCTTGGTCAGACTAGGAAAAGTTTAAAAAGATTCAGGTCAATGGCCTATTGATGAAAATTTATGATGGTCTTGATAAAATTTTTATTGAGACCATAGCATTTTCGAAAAATCCAAAACAAAGAGTTTCGATCTTAAACTTTGTCTATAGGTAAATTTTATAGTAATTAGATAGTTCCGAAAATTTCAAAGAAAACAGAATAACAGCTTACCATATGAAGACACCGGGCTTGGAAATGGGGTATATCGAACAAGACATATTTGTTTTCTTGGAAAATTTCAAGACTATCTAATTACTATAAAAATTGCCTAGAGACAAAACTCGAAACTCGTCGTTATGAATTTTTGGAAAAATGCTATGCTCTAAAATCTTCATAAATAAACTTTGAACCCGAATCCTTTTAAGCTTTTCCTAGTTTCATTGAGATTTGCTCGTAATTATAATATGAAGTCAAACGGCGTCCAACAATTGGATATGTTCCCTCGTGAGGTAATTAGCAATGCGGTACCGAATCAAGATCCTATGACATACTATTAAACTCAGTACATTTACTAGAGAATAACCTTAAATCGACTTCATTTAGATATTACTTCTTTAAAAAAAACATTATTTGATTTCCTTGAGATTTATATTTTAATGTGTATTCTATCTTAGAACTTATTTGTAAAAACTCTGTCAGTGTTCAAAATGATACTGAAAATCATCTCGATTGGTTGAAAGATTTTATGCGACGATCTCTGGATACTATACGTGATACTGTTGTACAAGCTTGTCTAACAGCTATATCTGCTCAATCAATAATTCCATTGAATTCAAATATTACTACACATGATATTAATGTGAACAATCATTTAACTCATCGTATTCAAAGTGAACATTCTCTAAAATCACGAAAAACAATGAATCATTGGCAAAATTATCAATTAAAAATGCCATCTGTAATGCGAAAAAAAAATCATGTATTATTATATCATCATAGATTAGATAATAATGAAGATGATGATGACGATGATGATAATGATATTAATAAAAAACAACGAATTCATCATCGAGCACGAAGAAGTCCTTATCCAATGTATAAAAATGTATTACGAACATTAGTTAATGATATTCAAGTACCATGGTCATATGAATGGCCACAATATAAACCGATTATATTTACTGCTCAAGAAATTTATATCAATCCAGGTGCAGATCCTGGTATGAATAAAACTAAGAAAGAAATAAAAAATATATATCTTTGTTTTTTTGTTGTTTGGTGAATTTTTGAAATTTTTTAGATCTACTCAAATCATCATCATCGATTTCTCTTCATTTTAATACAATCGATGGTGCTGTCGATCGTCGTAGTGTTTATCAACATTATCATATACGTGAACAAGATGGTCTTCCATTAAATCCAATCGGTCGTACTGGTTTACAAGGACGTGGTATACTTCTTCGATGGGGTCCAAATATATATCATTATATAATGATATGTCGATGGAAGCGTGATATTTATGGAAACATTTTTTTACATCCATCGAATGGAAAAAAAATTCTCGAAATTCTTCTAGAAATACAAACTGATGGTTATGCAACACATGATTTTATTTTAACCGGTGGTTTACGTATGATTGGTAGTCGATTTCCACCTCAATTACAAGATCGTTTAAAACGTTTTATTATTCATACAGGTTAAATTAAATTAAGCGGTGATCGAAAACGTTTTAGACAAGATGTCTGTTCACTGTTTGATCCGCTAGAAAGTATTTCCGACGAGTCAAAAGCTATGATTTTATGCTCTGTTCGAATACGGACTTAGAAATTTTGTTTGAGAATAGTAAAATAGTCTTTGAAAAGCCAAAAAAAAATTAGTATGGACAGAGCTTGTGGATTAACGTTTCAAGCGAACATATTTGTTCATTTTAACTTGTTTGACGAGCCAAAAACTATAGCTCACGACCAGAATTTGAATATCAACTTAGAAAAGTTTGGTTCAAGATTATTGAGGAACTTTTTGAAAGACCTAAAAAATTAATTTTAATAGTGAGCCAACAGGTTTTTTTTTGTTGATCCTCTAAGTCTCTTTTCGAGCATATTAAAAATTGTTCAAGTGAGTCATTTCGTAGACCGAACAGTGATACTAAACTCAGCTGTAGTTTTTACTCGAGTGAGGCTACAAGCATTTTTTCAAGAGCTTCTTTCAACGTAAAACGATTATTGATTTTTCAAAAATGAGTATTTAGAAAAAAATCGAGAATTGAGATATCTTGTTAATAGATAAAAAGAAACTTTAAACAGTGTATTTTGTAGGATAACTTCTGATCTACAAGCTGATATATAAATAAAGATCCTAACTTCTAATTTCGAATCACAATAGTAAAAATACAAAAATTTTCCATCCAAACTAATTCTTTGATCTTTTCAAAGATTATTTCACTACTTAATATTTTCTAGTGGATCAAAAATGAACAAACATCTTGTCTTGTCTGAAAACTTTTCAATCACTCATTGTAAATCTAATTTCTTTCTTATAATTTTAATATCATATTAGGTATAATATTAAATAATAGAAAAAAAATTTCCTCATCTCTTATTGAATTAAATCATTTATTTGAACAAAATCCAACACCATGGAAAGGTGCTTATTTTGATGATGCTCGTAATACAGATAATGCTTGGATTGAATTATCAATTGAATATTTGTTAGATAATGATCATCAATTAACATCATGTATACCATATCTTCATAATCAACAACTTGAATGTCTTGAGCAACCCCGTTTTATTTGGAAAGATGTCAAAAATACAATTGATATTGGACCACGAACTCATTATCGTCTTATAAAAAATTTAGCTTATAAACTTGATGCATATTTTTAAAGATAACAAAGAAAAAAAAGAAATAGAAGATATTTTGTTATGTAACTAACTAATAGTCTTATAGATGTAATTTAAAAATATTAGTAAAAAAATAGAAATTAAACAAAAAAGACAATATAATCTGTCATTGGATGTCATCATATTTGCCTCCTCGTCCTTGTTTATCTTCAATAAAACGTTTTGCTCCTGCTATTGATTCACGTTCAATTAATTTTATTCCATGTTCATATTCATGTTTAAGACTATCATCAGTTGTATGTGACATAGAAAAATATGCTGACATTCGATCAGTATTCATACATTCATATGGATATCGAAGTATATCTTGTGCAAGTTGAATTGCTTCAGTTAAACATTGTCCATCACCTACAAGACGATTAATTAATCCCATTTGAAGTGCTTCTGGAGCAGTTACAGTTCGACCTGTTATAATTAAATCAAGCGCTCGTGAAAGACCAATAAGACGTGGTAAACGAACAGTACCACCATCAAGAAGTGGAACACCAAAACGACGACATAATACACCATATATTGATGATTGTTCACCAACTCGTATATCAGCTAGAAGTGATAATTCTAAACCACCAGCAACACATGGTCCAGCAATAGCAGCTATTAATGGTTTTTTCAAATGCATACGACTTGGTCCCATTGGTCCAGGTTCATCTTTATTATAATTCATTGAAAATGAAGTATTTTCTGTAGCAACTTCACCTAAATCATAACCAGAACAAAATGCTGAACCACCTTCGCCGTATAAAATAGCTAAACGAACTAAAGGATCGTTTTCAATTTCTTGGAATGCTGAAAAAAGCTGAAGTGATGTGGAATGATTAACACAATTTCTCTTTGATGGACGATCTATTCCAATAAGACGAATTGATGGTTCATTAACAACAGGACTGATTTTAACAGTTATATTCGATGATGAGGAATGACGAAAATTAGATATCATTGCATTAAATTTACGAAGAATATTTGATGACAGTAATGTTCGATGAGTATACATTTTTCTAATAAATTTTAATTAAAGAAATTCTGAAACGAAATTAAAAAAAGAAAGAAAGAAGTCAATCTGATTCTACTTTCATTTGTTTTTTTTGAATAATTACATAGAATAAAAGTCAAAAAACAAAAAAAAAACAAAGATTGATTTCGGTTCTTTTTTCATTTTGTATACAAATAATATTACAACGATAGTAAAGACGACAAAAATAAATCATCGAACAAAGATACTCTCTTAGTTATAAAATACAAAATACAATAATCATTTTTGAAATATTCTTAATGTTTGATTAAATCCTCGTAGTTCTTCATCAGTAGCTGTTTGAAAAAATGGTGAAACACCTTGCTGTGCAGCATTTAATGTATCACCAAGTGTTTCATCTAATATATGGCTGGCGCTTGTTGGTAATTCATTTGTATTCTGTCGCCAGTGAGATGGTTGAGATGGTGGTATTGATGAAAAACCCATTCCTCGTCGATCTGTTGGTGCATTAGCCCAATGACCATCATTGAAAACATCATGGCGTAGTCGTTTCATCGGCGGACCACCGCTACGAGTATCATAATCAGATGGTACACTATTTCGAGAATAATCATCGAGTATTGAAGGTACTCCATGTGAAAAATTTGTTGGTGGTGGAGGTGGTTGAGACTAAAATTATTTGTCATTATAATATGAAAAACAAACAGAATATTACAAATACAATATATACTTACATAAAAAGGATCATCAGACTCCAACGAACCTGAAATAAATTTACATAATCTAATGAATAGTAGAAACTAGGAATGATATTTATGAAAAAGATTTTTTTTGTGAATAATTAAGAAACATCTCCGTACTTTCCAATACATTTGGGAGGCCATTTTATCAGAAAATTTTGAAACTTCCAAAATAGATAGATCTTAATGAGTAGAACAAAAGTTACCATAGATTAAAAATTTCAAAATGCTTCCTTCTTGGAAATATCGGAGTCGCAAAGGCTAAAAGTCACTCTCTAATTGTCCCGCTTTCTTGCCAGAGAACTTCTCCATGTATCAAATCATTTGTCAACCGAGATAATGCTTATCTAATGGGTACTAGTAAGTAATGGAAAAGTCGAGAATGGTTTACTTTTTTCGGGTATACGTTCTTGAGATATCGAAATTTGATCGGGTTTTTCAACAAAAAGCTGTGGTCTTCTTCACGTTACTTGAAAAATCGACTTTCGAATTTCGGCTTCAAACTTTGTACAACCAAATTTCTCAACGAGATTAGTTCATTGCAGCAAGTTCTAATTTTTCTAGTATTTCCTATCCTGAGATATGGACTATTCGAAATTCTCTCATGTGTAAAAGCAAATTTTATTCATGCACTTGCATTTCCAGAAAGGAAATACTAGAAAAGCTAAAACTTGCACAATCAACTAATCTGATTAAGAACTTTGTTCGTATAAAATTTGTGGTCAAAACTCAAAAGTCGATTTTTCATGTGACTAGAGACAGACCACAGTTTTCTGTTGAAACACTCAGTAAAATTTCGATATCTCGAGAACAAAGGCACTCGAAATCGAATCATTCTAGACTTTTCTATTACTCGCTAGCATTCATCAAATAAACATCGTTTTGGTTGAAAAGCAATTTCACACTTGGAAAGATTCCTTCGTCAGTTGCAATATGTCTGATAGATAGGCATCCTATACACTTTCTAATCTAAGTAGAAGAAAGTTTCAACTCAATCGGATGTACTATGGTTGAGAAACAGGAAAATGGGATTCACAATTTTTTCTTATCAAAGAACTGGTTTTTCAAAAACGGCGAAATAATGTTTCGATTTTAATGTTTATCAGCGAAAATTTTCCATCTTTTCTAGTTTTTTCAATTTTTATAGTTATATACTATTTATTGAACTATGTTCAGTAGATAGAAGACACTTTCAAGCAGAAAAAAAGTCAAAAACTTTAAAAACTTTTGGTCGGTAAAGGAGAAGTTTTCTTAATGTTGTTTTTAAATAAAACTAAATAAAAGTTCAAACAAAAAAAACTACTTGTCCAAGCAGATAAGGTTTTACAGAAACGTATGTAGAAAAGAGTCGTAGTCTAAGCACGAGGAAACTTGGTTATTTGGGTGTGACTACGGTTAAAAGTTTCTCGAACAGTATCACTGAACTCGTAAACATTTGGAATATTGTTTTTTTTTAACGCCCAATTCTATTCACACGCATGTAAGTTCTCGGAACGCATTGTAAACGATGCAAAACCCCAGGTCAGACCGCTTTAACGCGTGAAATGCTTAAATTCTTAACAGTTTCATATTGTGTTTTTAGAAATAAGTATTCAAAGTCCATATTTCATGCATATTTTAACAACATTTTTCCTACTGTGATAAGAAACATCTATGAGATGGGCAACTCACTCTATTTTATTATATTCAATCTTTTTTCAATTTATTTTTCTATTTAGATCTACGCTCATGGAATTTTTTCTCATCTGTGTAAAGCTATCTAGAGATGTTTTACTTCGTTTTCTCTTATATTCACGTTCGTGATAATCGATTGTGAAAGTAAAGAGAACGAGAAGACATTTCAATGGCAACATTTTTGTGTCTGAATTTAAATCTCTTCTCTTTCTCTTGTACTTGAGTTGGAATCTTTCCCAGCTAGAATGAAAACTCTATAACAAACATGAAACATGTTATTCAGTCACGCATCTTTTTTCCATTCACATTATTTTCTTCGTGATCTGTTATATTCCGAATTTGTTTACTTTTTTTTCAAGTAGTACCTTTTAAGTTGTGTTTTCTATTTTTAACCTAACGGGATGTCTTTTCTAAGGTATGTTTTTTGCTTTGATAAACAGATAGATATGTTAGTATACGACTAGCTAAATAGATTTATCCAAACAATGTCAAATGTAAAATTACCGAATAGTAAAAATATAAAAGAAAAACATTGTTATCTGTCTGTATCCTGACTTTGACTTACTTGTGTTAGCTACATTTTTATACTTTGACATTTTATCTGTCAATCAAATTCACGTTTATCAGTTATCTAATTAGGTAGCTACACGATGAGATGGATGGTCAAACATTTAATAAAGTAGATATTTAGGCAAAGAATTAGGCAAGTAGATAAGAAGTTAGATAGTAAGTTTGACAGGTAGTTAAATAGATAGTGAATGTCTATTGCAGAGTTAAGTGGTAGCTAGCGATTTTTGAATAACTGTAATACAGCAAGAACTAAACAGCTTATAAGTTTTGAAGATGATCTCCATCCGATCTAGATAAAAATGTATTTTCCATTATAATATAATGTTTAGAAAGATTTCTTATAATTTCAAGTTTTGAAAAATGATGATGTGCAGTCTTAAATAAAATCTTTATATCTTCTTAGAAGAAAATAATTAGTTATACCAGTCTTGACTTATTTGACAGAGGAAATGGTTATTTTTCTAACCACAACGTTACACTTGAAAATTCATATTTTATCTAGGTCGGATAATGGTCATATTGAAAACTGGCCACATGTTAAATATAAAAAACAAGAGAATTTTAGTTAAGTAGACGTATGGAATGATAATAACTCTAGTAGGTAGTTATGGTTTTAATTATATAGCCAATAAATACATAGGCAGTTAGATAGATAGTTAAAAGTAGTTAGTTAGATAGATTGCTGTACGTGTTTGTATGTAACTTTATGAGTAAAGAAATAGACCTATTTATCTGTGTATCAATTATTGATATTATATGAATGGCTTAGACGATAAAAAATATCGTGAAAAAAACCAAAATCAAAAAAGCTGTGGAAACAGAGAAAATATAATGGAGTATGTAAATATACGAACAATCTGATTATCTTAGGATGCTAATTATGGTTCCTGACTATGAGTTAGAAACGTTTGTAAAAAGTAGGCGTATAAACGAGCGAAAAATTTATAACGTATAGACCGTCAAAATATATCAGGTTATCTGAGAAATGATCATTTTCATAGTGCATTTTTCTGAATGTCTTTGAATGGTAATCGGGGATCACAATTGGCATTCGAGTACTGTGAAGATGTTTTAAGTGTTTTCACTGTCTTGTCTGCTTGGGTATCATTCTATTGCTATTATTATTATTATTATTATTACCAGAAAATGTATCAACGGAACGCCATGCTTCTTCAAATGATTTAGGTACAGGCTTGGCAAATGGTGCCTACATAAAAAGACAAACTTTCATAAATTTATCAAAGAAACATGAAACATACACGTCTTCGTCGACTTTCTTCATCATCATTTGAGAATTCTAGAGCAGGGATGCCAACTTCACGTTGATTGATTATTTCATCTAGATAAAATTTCACACAATAAAAAAATCTCAAATTGATTGTTTTTTTTTTAATACGAATTAACCTTGTTGTTGTAATTGTTCAAGTAAACCACCTTCAAAACCTAAACCAGGCATATTCATTTCTATTGAACGTTCATGTTCTAATTCTTCACGATGTAATTGTTCAAGACGTGCAGCATGTAGTAATAGTCCTTCTTCACTTCGTTCAAGTACAGTATCACCAGATCGATTACGTGTCCAAAATCGTCTGAACATTAAAAAGAAAAATGAATTTTTAGATAACAAAAAGAAAAAAGAAAACAAATATGAATACAAACGTTGTATGATCATTTGAACCACTAACAAGCATATGACCAAGAGGATGCCATGACATATCCCATATCATACCTTCATGTGCATCATCCATACCAGCTAATTCTTTTTCTGTTCTATTAAAGAAAAAAAACAATACTTCGTAAGATTTTCAAAGAATATCTATCATTCATTTTTCTTGTACTTCGAGTTCTACTCTAGACAATAATCTTCAGACGTCAAATGATATAGCTGTTATTAAATCATGCAAGATAAATATGAGTCAATCAAGCTTGCACAAGCCTTTACTACTAAACGGATCTCTATGACTTTCATTATACGTCTATGATCTATATTCTGTATAAACTGTCGAATTCGAATTAATTGAATAGATTAAAGATAAATTTTTAATTAGCAATTCATTTGTCTCTAATGAAAAAAAATCATACCCGATAAGCCAAAAATAAATTGAACCATCGGATCCTCCACTTGAAAAAAGTCGTTCATGTATTGGATGCCATGCCAATGCTAAATAATGAATAACAAAAAGAAAACAATTAAACATACAAAACGAAAAATTCTTCTTTATAATAAATTTTTCATTTATTATTATTATTATTATTATTATTATTACGAAAATCAAACATGAATGAATATAATAAAATTCAATGCATATGTATGATTATTTCTGTTTTACAGCCCTAGGCAAAAGTCTCCTCCTCCTCCTCCTCCTCACTTTTTTCTAAAAAATCTTTTAATATTTGGTTCCTTTTTATTTTCTTATTTGTTGATTCAGATGATCCAATCTTATGCAACTATTGTTAATGTATAAAATATGAATCGATATCAAGAATAGTTTTCTTCATCATTCTTTTGTAAGATTTTAAGCATGTCGCTTTCTCTATCACATTGCTATGAAATTGTATTTCTCGAGCTACATCCACTGAGTTTTAAAATGTCAAATAAAGCTATTTCGAAGTACATTAAGTGTGAACCAAAACCCATATAGCATTGGCTTGCCAGATGGCAACAAAATGAAGACCTATCTAACGACATGTCACATCAAAGAAAACAAATACAACGATTGTTCACATGCCAAACGTGAGTTGAAAGCTACATCAAATCACATTTCAAAAATTCTAAAAAAAACGACGATGTGAATATAGATCTAAGCGCTTTTAGACACCGATTGCATGAAAGTGGTGGAAGTTATAATGCATCTATAAAAGAAGCCTTTACTCACAGATAAACATCATGAGCAATAACTCATTTGGACTCGACAAGCATCAAAATTTCAATAGAGACAACATGATTTTTATTGATGAGAAGACATTCAAACTTGGCAACAGTGGGAAAAGAAAAGTTTGACGGTTTCCGGATGTCACCAATATTGTTTGTACAGTTAAATACTCTCTCAAGTATGTGCAGCATATATGAGAACGGTCAATCTACCTATTGCTCATCGTCAAGTTTTCTGAAGATCCATACAGCTGGATCCTTCAAGACGACAATGATCCTAAACACAGATCCCGTCTGTTGATCAATAATCGAATTCAAGTATTGTCTTAACCCTCTTCGTCACCAGATCAAAACTCAATTGAAAACGTTTGGTCTATGATGAAGGATACAATAAATCAAAAACAATTCAAATAAACTCAAAAGTTGGAACAAGAAACAAAAAATCAGCACGGACAGTTCTGTCAATTGGCTTGACTATCAAAATGATCGATCGTATGAAAAGACGAGCACAATATTTGATTAAAACAAATGGTAACTGTACATCATATTAAAATAAGATAAATATGTTGTACTTTAGTTCGATAATAAAAAGATTTTCAAAAACAAAGGGACCGTGTAAAACTTTTGCCCAAGGGTTTATACACATTTATTAGATGAAGAAATAGTTTTATTTCATTTTTAAAAAGAAACAATATCAAGCAAACACATTTTTTTATTATGTTCTTTATTCGTAAACAATAATAAACGAATAAAATGAGCTTACTGCATGCTTCTTTTTTGTGTCCACGAAAACATTGAACTTCTTCTTTAAGATTTCTTATATCAAATAATTTACAAAAATGATCACGTGATGCTGATATTAACCAATTTCCATTATGACGATTCCATTTTAATGCCATACATGTATTTTTATGAGCATGACTAAATTATTTAAGAAAGAAAAACAGTCGGTATTTTTTTTTGTCTAAAATTAAAGAAATTATTTTACAGTGTTGCTAATTTTTTCCCACTTTTTGGATCCCAAAGAATAATTGGTTGTTGAGAATCTTTACTGCCAGAAGCAAGTAAACCTTTATGTGGATGCCAATCAACACATTTTACATCACATCCATGACCTAATGTATTTATTTTTTTAACAAATAATAGAATTTTAAAAATTTTTTAAAAGTAAACAAACCTCGTAATTCACGTTCTTCAGTGCCGGTCATAAAATCAAATATACGAATAAAACTATCATCAGAACAACTGGCAAATTTGCTATCATT